GTTGTTCCTGCCCCCTGGGTGAGCTCGTCTTCATCAACAGTCCAGTCACCTATGGCATTTGCTTATCCGGTGGTATCACCACGTCTGGTGCAGCAGCGTCAGCAGCAGCAGCAGCAGCAACAACAACAACAACAGCTCTATTTGCGTAGTCCAAACGCAAGCATGCCCACAGCTTCAACAGTGCAATGCCTCAAGTCGGCAAGTCTGAGGAGTCCCGTGCGTTTCGCACAAGTCACTGCGGCACCTGCGTTCACACCCTCCGCTGTGGTCTTTCGAAATTACCGTGTGGCTGGTGGTGAGTCCAACTACCAGACTGCAGGCTCACCTATGCAACCGCAAAAGAACGCATTCCAGCAGCCTGATTGTCATCGTACGGGCAGTGGTGGTGGTGGTGGTGCCTGCATTTCTTCAAACAACAGCTCGCTTCTCTCCAAGACCAGTGATCTCAACGACACAAGTGATCCCAAAGACGGTAATTTAATGAAGCTTTCGGCATGCCTATATAGAGGAGGTGAATAATGTCCACTTTGATTGGTTTACTCTAGGTGGCGAGGTGATTCGGATGAACGACACAAGCAAGGTGAAGTGTTGTAGGGAGAGGGAGAATTCGTCCGAGTTCAGTGATGCTATACCACAAGACGTATCACCATCAAGTTATCAGCGCCTCGTGCACGAGAGCGGAGCACCGACTGCCGCGTCGCAGTATGTCATCCACCTGCCGAAGTCCTGCTCACCACTCACTTTTGAGAACTGCCATCCGATGGATTTGCAACACAACACACGGGAAATCTATCCCCTCTCCCCTATTAATGGCGGTGTCGCCAACTTCGTGACACCGACGCATGTTGGTAGGCCTGCGACTGCGGTCAGACCGGTTTTCCGCAGTCGATCGATTGACTCGGAGTTGGACAATCTGTCCTCCTCTGACTACCACCACCCTGTGATGGTGTCACCAGGGGATACGACAAGGAGGGGCAGATTCGTGCATCAGCGAGTTGCACTACCTTCATTGGTTGCACCGGAAAAGCGGTTGAACTTCATCACCACTACGAAGACCCTGAGCCCGGAGATTCGAGGCAGCTTTGTGTGATCAAGTCATTAAACTTACCATCCACACCTATTCCCCCCTCTTCCCCCACCTTATGTTTCTTTTTTCGTTTTTTTCAAACATCGAGTCTGTACAGCTGCTTGCATTGTAAAGCTGACAGAAGGAAGACCAGATTTATGTATGTATTTAAGCCGTGGCAGTGAACGAACTCTTGGGTCGAATGGAGGTAGGGGGGAGGACTGCGAATTTGGGAGATGGTTCATAGGCACTT